ACCACGCTATGAAGGGTCTGTCGCGGTGCGACACTGACCGTGCTGTGAGCAGTTGGTCGCGGTGCGACACTGACCATGCTGTGGGCAGTTGGTCGCTGTGCGACACTGATCGTGCTGTGAGCAGTAGGTCACGATGCGACACTGACCATGCTGTGGGCAGTTGGTCGCTGTGCGACGCTGACCATGTTGCGAGAGGTCTGTCGCGAGTCTTTCGCAAAAACCCGTGTGGGTCGCATCAGATGCCGACTCCTGATAATGCATGCAAATGATCTGGGCCCCCTCATGCAGGCCAGTCTACGGGGAAGACAGGACTCGTGACGGCGCTCCGAGGGCCGCTTGGATTTCCCGCCTGGCACATTTGCATGCACTCCCCGCGGCACTCTGTGGCGACATACCCCACCCAGCCATCTCATCAGATGGGCGGCCGAGGCACAGAGCATGTTTGTTCGTCCAGTGACGCCACGTCTTCGATGCCTCGTCTGGAGCGCCGCGGGCGCGGCCGGCGCGGACGAAAAGACTGAAATGTCCGGCCGCAGCACGGGGTTTCCGATGAGCGAGTCGTGGCTCCGGAGACGGTGAGGCGAGTTCGCGTGAACGGTGACGCTGCGAAGCTCGGGATGCCACGCGGCAGACACGGCGTCGCGCCGGCTTGATGATGTGATGGAGAGCGCCCGGGGCGCACCCGCCGCGCGCTTTCCTCTCCCTCAGCCAGCCGCAGCTCGTCGGGCGAGTCCACTAGGGGTTTCACCAGTGTCCTAGAATTGCTGACTTTGGGTGTAAAGCAACACCCCATGAGGAGGGATTTTTCACTCCTTTTCCCCATATTTTATGTGAATTTTTCACTCCTGCCTGACATTGCCCAATCGCACATGCCAAACCCCTATTTCCCTTTCTGAGGTTTTCAGATGTCATCCAAAACCGAGCTCATTTGAAACCGCCAAGCATAAACGAGGCTTCGCAGAACCTGGACACCTATGGCTTTGTCCTGCCTCACCTACATCTGAATCATGTCTATGTATGCACAGAGCAAGGGCGCCAGGTACCTCCAAGCCCAGGAACCCCAGCGACCCCAGCCGCTTGCACGCATTAAGCTTGGTTTGTTTACAAAATGCATCACAATCTGCAGCTGTGCGCCAACTGCAAGGTTTTCACGCATCCCCTACTTTTTTGGTCTCCACCACACCACGAAAGCAGAGCCTGGTGCAAACACCAGCAAGGCCTGGTAGAGAATTTTGCTCCACGTATTTCTTTTTTCCCGAGGAAACTTGACCACTAATTTGCGTCACTCCCGAAATGCAGAAGTGAAAAGTTCAAGAAATGTCTTCTAGATTAAACCCACAAGAAGAATATCACCATTTGAGCGCTTATATTAACAGATGTTAAGTCAAATTAGCTGATTACGAAATGTTGCGAGAAAAGTGTCGGTCTTTATGTTTATTTAGCACTTTTGTTTTTCTTGGTATCATACCAGTGTGATACTACTCTATTCTTCCTTCCTTTTCGATTGTCTTTAGAGGTACCATCTGCTGCTTAAAATTTTGACCAATTTCTCTGCAAGATGCTCCAATTGCAAACTTGTACGTATTTCATACATAAATTGGATTAATTCGCCAGCCGCCCAAACATGTTTGATATGCACCCAAGCGTGAACAATTCACAGGGAATGAAGGAGACAATTTGAACCACGGAACTTAGTTTTACCGGTATTTTTGCCCCCTTAGACCTTCGGTTAACCGTTTTCTTGGTTCATGGCGGTGCTCAATAGTGATAAATCCAAGCCTTTCGAGTGTCTGACTCACCAGGCTACCTTGCAAGACCATTCTAATGCTGCCATATACAGCCTTGGGACAGACCTGACGCAGCTAATACAGAAGTGTGTAATGGCGAAATTCTGCCCTCTGGAGATGTTTATCATGCACACCTCTACTTTGTTTCGCATTTTGATATTGAAGGTTGGTGGGCATGATTGATATTTATATTTGGGGGGTGAGTCGGATGACTCTGTCTACCAGTAGACCATGCAAAAGGTACTGAATTTTTCTTTTGGGGGGAGCAGGAGGAAGCCAGTAAGCCTCCTGTGGACCAATTAATTGCTTACCTTACCTGCTTTCATCACACCATTGGTAACCAGTTTGCCATTTTCTGTTTTAATGAATCGAGTTCTGCCATAAGACAAATTATGATGCCACAATGCATACAGTGGGCTTGTTTTGTTCCATATTCTTGGTTATTTGCCCCAAATATGTTAAAGTGGTCCCTCATGGCTGCCTTAACGAGATGTTTTCTGTAGTTGTCATGGTTTGCTGACTGGCAACTGACTGCACTGTACATATGCACTATATTTTTAACACAGGGATACTCTAAGCTGCATAGCAATTATAATATAAATTAAATATTGGTATATAACAAATAGTCAGACCACCCTATTGAAATGTGAAGCCAACATCTCAAACTTTGTCATTAAATATGATAAACACACCCAAATGGATGCATTTGCTGCAGCTGAAAAGGCAAGCAGCAATACTGGCATGGTTATCTAAAAGTTACGTTATTTTTGGAGAAGAGAAATCGTTTTGTAGAGCGTACCCGTTATTGCCCTTGACATAGGTTAACCATGACAGCCAAAATAAGTCGTTCAAAGTAATTTAAAGTGTTTTGATTTGTGTGTTGTCAACTTTGTCTGATGTCAACAACCATACGCCATCAACCATCAACTGAATAAAAATGCAAGTTGAAACCAGCCAAAACTAGCTTTAAATATCATGTTTTTATCACAAGTGCTGTTGCAAGTGCACAAGTGCTCAACAGATAGGTGAGTTGAGATGATGTTCATCATATGGGCTACCCTAGGTTAGGTTGGTCAAGTGCATGGCAAGTGGCAATAGGAATTGTGCAAGAATCAGTAACTCACAACTGCTGTTGTGATTACAGGATGAGATGGTTATAAAACAGGTTATAAAAGGTTACCAAACAGGTTACCAAACAGGTTATACAGGATGAGATGATGTAAAGCCACTTTAGGTTAGGCATAGGCTACTTTCATTGAAATAAGCATTGATATTTGATAAGAAACAGTGAGAAAATGTTTGTTTTCCCTGACCCCATCTTAACAGAAGCCAGAAGTATGTCTTCTGTGTTTGACTTGGTGATGGCTAATGTGTAGAATTCCAAGGTTTTTTCTTTAGAGTGTTTTATGCTTGTTCAATCTTCTGTCGTTATTTTGTTATTGAATTCCTTGGCTTCGTTTTGTTTTAAAAGTATTGTGGAAGGGAATTGAAAAGTGCAGCATCAAATTATTGGTGTAAATAATTTGTTATGCTCATAATATTGTCATGAAATTACTATGCTTTAACACGCGCCCGGTTGGCCTGCTAGATACCCTTCGCTCGGGTGGGGGTCAATTTGACCCCCCTCTGCGATTTCGGGAACTAAGAAAGCTAGAGACACCAAATGTATAGGGTGTCTTGACCTATAAGGGAACTCACTTGGGTTAAGGTTTCAGCTTCCTAGGTCATGACCTTCAGGTCGAATAACGTCAAGCAAGGTCAGATTCCAGGTTGGTCTCCAAAGCGACCCCAGAATCTAGGCAACTGTCTCTAAGCAAGAGGTCACAAGCCCATTCGAGCTCATTGACCTTGTTTGACTCCTTGAAGGTTATGGTGACCAAAACGATACAAGACTGCTTCGCGTTTTGCATTTGAATAAACGACAAAGATAACGCTAGGCAGTATGTTCCTAAAACTAAACCCAGGTCATCATAGGTCAGTGACCTGTTCTGACCTCTAAGAAGTCAATTGAAGATGTATAATGCGGTTCCTGCTGTCAATAAATTCGAAATGAGCACCAGGTACTATCCCATACAGGAACCCTAGAGTAATAAATCAGGTTGGTTTTGACCTGGGTCTGACCATCATACCTGACCTTAGGTCAACATAATTTGCTAATTCAATATTTGTGGTGCCTAAGAAAGCATCTCAGAGATGTGTGTCTTCGTCAAACACTCCGTTGTTGTATCAGATTGAACAATTCCCTAGAAATTGCCTTCGCTGAAACCATGGGCTGACTTTGACCTGTCATAGGTTAGCGACCTTACAAGGTGCATCTAAAATTTGTATGTCAAACGATCCGCTGTGAAATTTCTACAGCTATGCAAAATTTGGCGCGGTTACGCCGCGCCGTTCAGAAACCATTCGCGTTAATGGGCGCGTGGGCGCGTGTTAATGTATTCTTTTTCACTCACTTTAATGGCCTAAAATATCAAAAAACGAAATAGTTTTGTCAGGTTCCTGATATTACGTCCATGTCAACTTGAAATATGTCTTCGTTTGCTGAAGCATCAGTCACGAGCTCATAAGTTCCATTTTTTGTGGATTAATTTTTTCACTCCTGCACGGTCTTTTTGCGATGGAATTTTTCACTCCCACCCTAGTTCAAAAGCGATTCTAGCTCCATGGGTTTCACGCAGCGCGAATCGCTGGGCAGAGGGGGGAGGGGGAGCTCATCGCACGCGGCCTGTCTGACTACCGGTGAGGGTCGTGGAAACTCGTGCGAACGTTATCACCACTGCACCAGGAGATCGGCTCCCAGAAGGGGCGGCGGCGGTGACCGTCTCAATGTCAGGGTGCCTGTCCTCCCCATCCCTCCGACCCCGTCGGCCGGTCGAACTGCCGGTCATTCCGCGCCGCATCAGTTTCCCGTTAGCGCGCTGAAGGTCACCATCTCGGTCAGGCGTCACCGGGCCCTAACGACAGCCATTCTTCTGGGCGTGCGTTGGCGACAAACGCTCACACAGGACTGCCGCGAGCGTCTAGCACAGGCGCCGTGTGCCGCGGGCAATCAGGGACGATCGGCCCGCGGCGGTCGCCGGAAAGCGAACGGTTACGCCACGGCGCGCCGCACGACAAAAATGCCGCGCGGCGGCGTCTTCGTGCCGGCGGCGCGGCCGGCCGGGGCCCGCTATATAAGCGGCGGGCGCCGGACGGGGGGCATCAGTCGCTCCTGGTCCAGCGCCCCGTCCGCCACAACCACTCTCAACATGCAGCTGTTCGTCGCCGCGTGCCTGCTGGCCTGCGCCGCCGCCTTCCCGCAGGGGCAGTTCGAGGGCTCCGGCGAGCCGCCGGCCCTCCGCTCGGGCTTGAACGACGTCGGCATCTTGCGCTCGGATTTCGACATGAGCGAGGACGGCTCGTTCCAGTACGGCTTCGAGTCGACTGACGGCACAGTCGTGGACGCGGCCGGCGAGCAGCGCCAGATCGGCAACTCGGCTGGCATCGTGATGCGCGGCTCATACTCGTACGTGTCGCCCGAGGGTAACAACATCGCGATCTCCTGGGTGGCCGACGAGTCGGGCTTCCGCGCCGAGGGCGACAGCATTCCGGCCGTGCCCGAGTACGTGTCGACGCTGCTGAAGAACCTGCCGGCCGCGCCGGCGCCGGCGCTGCTGTCGACCGTCCGCACCGCCCCGCTGGCGCCTGTCCGCCAGGAGGTCGTCGCCGCGCCGGAGTCGGTGGTGGAGGAGGAGCTGCTGACGGTGGTGAGCGCCGATGAGCCCCAGCAGGAGGAGGAGCAGGAGGTGTTCGTCTTGCCGACGGTGGATGAGCAGATCTTCGACTCCCAGCCCGAAGAGGTGGCCGTGGAGGTACCGGTCGAGGTCGTGCAAGATGTTGGCGCCGATGCCCAGCCCGAAGAAGTGGTGGCCGACGCTGTGGAGGTGCCGGCCCTCGATGCGCTGCCCGAGATCCCTGAATTGCCCGTCTTTGACGCCCTGCCAGAGGATGTCGAGGAGCAGGTGGAAGTCGTGGCTGCCGAGCTCGCTGCAGAGTCGGAGCTGCCATCGCTGCTCTCTGTAGAGGAGAGTCTGTCTGACGGCGTACCAGTACTGCTTCTGTGATCGCCCATCCACCTGCTGATTACTGCCCACCTTGCCTTGTCAGTGCCGTCAGTCAGATGGTCTCGCATAGGAAGGCCGTGATGTTCACTGTTGATGTTCACCGCTAGGTCATTGCATTGCCGGCGCGAGTATCTCCATGACCTTCTTGTATGCGCCATGTGGACGTGTGCCAACGAAATACATGATTGAGTGATGCATACCTCGTTTTCACGGAATTAGCTATTTCGTCAGAACTCGCGCTGACCTAAAGCACAAAGGGAGGCAGGCGCGATAAAAATAATGTCACATGTCTTGCAAATGCATCGGTACGGTCTGATCCAGCGCATCGTATGCAATACTTCGCCAAAGCATATACCCTGTTGCCGTAATCTGGCACTGCCCTGTGAGGAGCGACTTTATGCTTAAACAGGCTGTGGGCTGGTCATCCTCAAGCTGACCTACAAGGGCTTTCATCTCTGACTGTGAGCTAACCCAGACCGTGCTTAGGTCACTCCGACCTATCTGCTGAGCCTGACCCCGCCACAGTGGTCTGCTCCGTGCGGCGGTGGTCCTATACGTTTTTCTACCGTGACCGAAAGCTGCACGCAGCTCACTTTGAGATCGCAGCCGTACTAAGCACGGCTTGTTACGAAGGTCGCAACTCCACCTCCGCTGGAGATATATGTCAGTCTAACGGGCAGTTTAGGCCGAGAGATTCTGGCGTGTCATGCAATGCCACAATGCGGCCGCCGCCGCCGCCCGTGCCAGTGTGACCCTCTCAAGGTCACTAGTGAGACGACCTCCCTTGGTGAGTCGAGCAATCGAACGCCAATTCTGTGACACGAACCTAAGTAGTGTGCCACCTTAGTTGTCAGCCGTCCAGCGCTCCTTGACCTGACCACAGCTGAGCCTGACCCATGTTTGGCAGCGATTCGACCCACATCGTGACAGGTTCGTCACCTCCAACACGACCTCGGTCGACCTTGACCTCTGGCAGCGCACTGACTCAAATTGTGATAGTCGTCACTCCCGTCACGACCTCGATTGACCTTGACCTCTGTTTGGCAGCGAGCTGACCCAGATCGTGGCGGACGTCATCTCTGACCCGACCCTGCCCCGGACGGAGGACCACGCCTGTCCCGTGTGTGAGCACCGGGAGGCCGTCTTCTTTCAGGCGCAGTCCCGGCGTGCGGAGGTAGGCTTCCGCGCGCGCGCCGTGCCCAGGGCGCTTCACGGTCTCAGATGTGTGCTGTGGTGACGCCCGTGCTGTCAACACTGACGCCTGTATTGACACCCCGTCTGACACCTCATCTGACACCTCGTCTGACACCTCGTCCGACACACGCCGGCAGGGAGGGTTTTAGAAGCTTGAAGGTTGGTGTACGGGTTTGCATGACCGGTTTCATAAGCGGTGAAGGCATTTCAGCAGTGAGATTGAACAATTTCTGTGGCGAGAATTATCGCATTCAGGTTTACATGATCCGTATCCTGTTCCGTGCGGCTGCACGCACCTGACAAAGTTCGTTGGCTTAATCACCATCAAGCACTTTTGGCAGTGGCTATTTGTGTTCAAATTCAGTGTGCGTACGCTGACTGGAGCACAAATTTTGGCGTAGCTTCCTGCGACTTCGGCCTAATTAAAGAAAGTACAGCACGTTACCGAAGGTAACAGTGCGCTCCGTTGTTAATATTCTGCGCACTCACAGGCCGTTTTGTTCATTAGTGTCATTTATCTGCGCTCAGTATTATCCGTGCCTGGAGTCATCAGCCCGTGAGTCCGTCTCGGACTGCTCAGGTTGGCAGGAACAAGTGGTGGTGGTGCTAAGATTTCCTTTGTGGCAGAGTTTACTCCGATCGTCGACTCCCACCGGCGGGATCCGTGATCCATCCACGCGGTGCCAGTCCTCTGACGTCATTTTAGCTCGAGCCACCGTGCACCCGACATTCGAGTGTTGTTAGATCCCCCCCCCCCCCCATCCTTCCCCATGCTGCTTGATGGAACCTTCCGTGACTTTTAAACACGTGCATGATTGGGCTCAAGAATGGCGCCTCTAAGCCGGTGGAGGGCCGGCACAGCTTCGCAGAATCCTTGACATTCCGATCAGGAGCCGCGCTGTCGAACCGCCTGGTCGTCCCGGCGGGTTAATTTTTTGTACAAAGGATTGTGGCCGCGTCCTTTACAAAATTTAGGGACATTATTTCCTGTCAACCCCTCAACGCTACCGATTAATGACGCAAAAGGGTTGGTGGCCCTGCTGAATACGACGGTCACCAACACCGACTCTCTAATGGTTGCCCATCTCTGATGCGTGCTCTCGCCAGGTTCCACTTGTTTCAACTACGCAAAGTTGCGTACATGCTTGCCAATATGAGCATGACAAGACCAGACGCCTGTTCCTACGCTGCGTGATACTTTCTGAAAATGAAGACTGACTATTTCTGAGACTATTTCTGGACTGCCGAGTCATTAACACTAAGCTCGAAGCTGGACATATTGTGACGACGCGTCAAAATTGTCTACGCGGTTGATGACAACGGGTATTCGCTGCGTATTCATTGGCATTGGAAGCTAGACCATTATATTTGGAAAAGAACATAAAGCAGCGCTTTCGGCCACGGATGCTTTTGATTTCTGGCAAATCGTGTGTAATTTGTGTGATTTCGATGAAAATGAGTTTTGTTATAACATTGACGTGACGTCTTACCCTGCGAGGTCAGATTTCAAATAAAAACGTGTAAATGGTTTGCACCGATGCGGTTTCTGTTGTACTTTTACGTCGCATGCTTTCATGCGTTTACGATGCGATATTAATGAGGTTCTTGGGACAAAAGGGAACTTTTGAAACGTAGTGATGCATGATCCCAGGTTTAATTCATGTTACCTGTGTTACTTTCGATTCCATGCCTCACAAGCTAGATCATTAAATCGGACTTCTGTTGGCAGCCCCAGGCTGTGTTGTGCAACCTTTGCACAGGCCATTTTCGAGTATATCGTTTGAGCCACCTGTCGGATCAGGTCAAAAGCGGCAGTGTCGATGTTTTCATCTGATTCACACTATGTTTCCGTCGTGCTCAGCGGTAGAAATAGTTCAGGTTTGTCCAGTCATGCTCGTGTATGAAATGTCAGCCAGGCACATTCGAGGACATATTGCTATTAAAACGGCGTGGCACTGAATATGACAAAACCATGCATATTGGATCATGTATCGCAAACGCTTTGATACATTTTCATGTCTACAAGGATCAATAACTCGATGATCGGTAATTGACTTACTCTGGCAGCCATCTTCAAGCATTAACGCGTCAGATTAGCGCCGGTCACTAGCGTATGGTGTCCTCGAATGATGAAGCACACGGCCGATTGGTGGGTCTCTCCCGGGCCCCAGCGCATGGCGTCCTCGAATGGCGAAGCACACGGCCGACTGGTGGGTCTCTCCCGGGCCCCAGCGCATGGCGTCCTCGAATGGCGAAGCACACGGCCGACTGGTGGGTCTCTCCCGGGCCCCAGCGCATGGCGTCCTCGAATGGCGAAGCACACGGCCGACTGGTGGGTCTCTCCCGGGCCCCAGCGCATGGCGTCCTCGAATGGCGAAGCACACGGCCGATTGGTGGGTCTCTCCCGGGTCCCAGCGTATGGCGTCCTCGAATGGCGAAGCACACGGCCGATTGGTGGGTCTCTCCCGGGCCCCAGCGCATGGCGTCCTCGAATGGCGAAGCACACGGCCGATTGGTGGGTCTCTCCCGGGCCCCAGCGCATGGCGTCCTCGAATGGCGAAGCACATGGCCGATTGGTGGGTCTCTCCCGGGTCCCAGCGTATGGCGTCCTCGAGTGGTGAAGCACACGGCCAATTGGTGGGTCTCTCCCGGGCCCCAGTGTCGGTTTCGGCCAGCCAGTTCTTGGGTCGGCGGCTAGCTGGCCTGGCACTGGCGGTTTGGCAGTTTTGTGCCAGTGCCTAGTCCCGCGGGGCGAAAATATGAAAACGCATTCTGATTTGCGTTGCATGAACTGAAAGACTAAATAGAACTTAGCCTAACCGGCATGTGCTATTTATAAATGTTTTAAAAATTGAAAGACCAAGTAAAATCGGGTGGAATCCGGCTGGTATGTACATGCAGCGCAATTAACAAGCGCGTAGGTCCGTGGTTTATTTTTACGAAACTAGGCCTTGTTTCAACTTGGCGATGATAATAATAGAACTAGTTTTCGTGTGGAGTGAAACATGCTTCAGGAACTTAAATCAGTTAAAATTTAGCTCCAACAAAGATTACAAGAATAAAGTCGATATCCTACAACCGCCGTAAATTTCCCAACGTCTGGTGGACTTCGGGAAATTTATTAATGTCGTACCAGATCCTGCAATAGGTGGACGGTTTTGGCCAAATTTAAAGTCATGTTTCTTAATTTGGCGTTATTTACAATTGGGATTTGGAATTTACGGTCCAAATACTCTGACATATTCTTAACACACGCTCGGGTGGCCGGTTGGATACCCCTCGCTTGGGAGCTGAATTTGACCATCCTGAGATCTCAGGAACAAAGAGGGCTAGAGGCATACAATTTGCTGTGTGTTTTGGCCTGTATGTGAACTCACTTAGGTCAAAGTTTAAGCCTCCCAGGTCATGATCTTCGAGTCAAATAAGGTCAAACAAGGTCATACTCCAAGTTGGTCTCCAAAGTGCCCCCAGAACCCAGATGCCTGCTCTAAGCAAAAGGTCATATGCTCATTCAAGGTCATTGACCTTGCTTGACCTTTCGAAGGTTATGGTGACCAAAATCATGGAAGACTGCCTTGGGTTTTGCATTTGAGTACACGACAAAGATTAAGGAAGGCAGTATGCTCCTAAAAGCAAAATGTTGACCTGCGCAATTTTAGGTGTGACCTATTCTAACGTATAAGAATCTTAGACACGTATGGCTTCATCTAACACTCCGTTGTTCCATCAGATTGAACGATTCCCTTGAAATTGACTTAACTGAACCCATGGCCGGACTTTGACCTGCCGTAGGTCAGCGACCTTACAAGGTGCATCCAATTTTTGGTTACCACGCGATCTACTATTCCATTGTCTACAGCTATGCAAAATTTTACGGGGCTTTGCTGCGCCGTTCGGAAGCCAGTCTGAAAACACCTTCGGTGGGTCAATTTCACCGTCCCCATCCGAGAGCTTATCAAAGAGTGCTCGACGTAAGTAGTATGAGCAAGTAGTAGTGAATGAGTAGGTGAGTAGGTAAGTATGATGTAACCTCGATTCATTTGTGCGTCATTAAAAAAAGCTTAAACTCGGTAATTTAAGTGTCGCATGAAGGAATCTGTAGTCGTGATTGATTGGTCTTCAGGATGGATTTGTGCATACCAAAGCTATAAACTATGCTTCGAATGCTTCACCATGAATGTGATCAACAGCCGCCGGTCATGCTCACGGCCGGCTAGTCGGGTCGGCTCGCCGCCCCCACCCCCCCATGCGGAGAGCTGATTGTTCTGTGGCTAGCCGGAAGCCAGTCTTGTGGGTGTTATACTGGACTTGCCCTGAAGCTTGAGATGACCCGGAAGATGAAATCATAACATCCGCTCGTGAGCATGTTTTTTTTAAATACTGCGTCTACTTCTTCCTCACTCATGTGTGGTTTTGCAAGACCCGAGTTAAAAAGTGCATGCCCTCGGTAAGCCTGACCTCGACTGCGGCGCGACAGATGACACGCCACCAACATGTGATCGGGCTTGGCCGAAGATAAGACCGCGGGGACAGGACAGTGCCCGCCACGTGAGATGTCAGGTGTGACGCATTTACAGGCTGGTCACCAGCGTGGGTGTGGCGTCAGGTGTGACGCATTTACAGACTGGTCACCGGCGCTGGTGCGGTGTCAGGTGTGACGTACTGACAGACTGGTCACCAGCGTGGGTGTGGCGTCAGGTGTGACGTACTGACAGGCTGGTCACCAGCGTGGGTGTGGCGTCAGGTGTGACGTACTGACAGACTGGTCACCGGCGCTGGTGCGGTGTCAGGTGTGACGTACTGACAGACTGGTCACCAGCGTGGGTGTGGCGTCAGGTGTGACGTACTGACAGACTGGTCACCAGTACTGGTGCGGTGTCAGGTGTGACGTACTGCCAGACTGGTCACCAGCACGGGTGCGGTGTCAGGTGTGACGTACTGACAGACTGGTCACCGGCGCTGGTGCGGTGTCAGGTGTGACGTACTGACAGACTGGTCACCAGCACGGGTGCGTTATCAGGTGTAACGTACTGACAGGCTGGTCACCAGCACGGGTGCGGTGTCAGGTGTGACACTCAGCGGCAGCGGTCATGTCTGCACAATAACACGTATTGCATAACAGAGCCGAATCAGAAATGATCAACGGAAGATGGGATGACGAACTGCCAGACAGCGCTACTGACCGAGCCCAATAAAGCCCACTTTGGGATCTATTTCATAAGTCTTCCAGGATGTCTTTCGACTAAGTAATGCCTCCTCTGATCCCCGTGTGGAGTGGTGTAGGTTTTTTTCGCCGGCTGTGACCAGGTGCGGCCGCTCCTGGCACCGTCACAGGGGGATGATACGGGCAGGCATGCTGTCTCGCCTTTCGCGGCCAAAAGACCTGTTGTAATGGACCCGTCGAGTGTCGGCCGCGCCGGCCGTCGAGCCACTATTCGTCGGATCAATCCAGTATTTCTGAGCCCCGGCACCAAGGTCAGTGCGACTGGCATGGGCGATATCTCAGGTGATGTTTGGGCAACACGTGGGGCGGTACATCTCGGAGCCCAACATAACATTTTGCCCAGACTTCCGCCCTGCAATTATTATAAATATATCCGGGGATGCTCAGACTTCAGATGTTCAAAGGCGTAGCAGATTCGTCGACGACGTAATCAGTTCAAGATATAATTGAATTCAAATTACAATAGTCGAAGTGTCATCAATTTAATTAGTGTGTTAATTAATTTGAGTTAGTCATCTAACGAATAGCGTATGTTGGCTGCGGGGGCATTCGTATTATTGGTCAGATTGAAAGTAAGATAAGCTTCACAAGGGAGCGTATTATATATCCTATCCCAGAAAGTTGTATGCACCCCCAAAATATCGATGCCATCAAGTTGCTAGGCATCAAGGCATGACGTGTGAAAAGTAACAGTTGCGCAAAACGATGCAATCCCAAATTAGTAATACCGCATCTGGTTGGACCAAAAGCCAGATCAGCTTCCCCCAATAAAGCTTACACTTCTGAAAAGACACAACTTTTTCTTCCTGATACCGTTTGGTATCTGTCAGGCATCGAGTAGTGCTAACATTGTCCAATTTTAGCACTGTTTTGTGTCATGTCTCATTTCAAAGGCGCATAAATTCGCATGAGCTCGAACTCGCTCGCACGAATTGAGGGATATTAATTGTTTTCATATAACTGAGCTGGCATCTCACGACCCAGATGAAGACGGTAGGAGCGTTTCTGACATGGAGAATCGCGTGTAGCGTGCGCATAACAAGTATTTTTAAGGCATTCACAGAAGCATCGTAAGCGGTTGAGATAGGTATAAAGAGCCGTTGAGAAACGGTTTTTGACAAAGCATTACATACTCCGCTCGGTGTGAAGTTTCCACTTCTAAAATATGTTCGTGAGTCTCGGAGGTCTCCTTTGCGACAACGTAGTAACTACGATGAACATTTACACTCGACAAGCATCTGTTTAGCACTACCTCGTGTTGTGAATGAAACCGTTCCACTAGCGTGAGCTTTTCTACGATTTTTCTCCGAAATAACGGAGGACATAGAAATCCCAAAGGGAGGTGTTGTCTGGTATTATCCGCAAGACTTACTCGGTGAGGTACACAATTCACCAGCTGTCCAAGAATAACCGCATTGTACTTCCTCCCTATATTGCAAGCGCTCGTGTTATGAAAAAGTTGGCACGCGTCCATTCTCAAGATGTTTCAGCGCTTTAAGTGGGACACTGTCCAAAGCCATCCCCGAGCGGCAGGTAGTGGCAGCTGGATGGCGTTGATTCTTAGTCGTATTTTGCCGGGTGTCATAAGCGTCCCGCTGGTCACTCCTGCTCGGATTGGGCAACCGCGCCTCGGGCCAAGCCCACCAGCACAACATGTTACCCGTGACGCACCTAGCCGAGCATGCCGTACCAAGCGTGTGCGCATCTTTACAAAGCAGCTGGCAAACCTAGTGGTTTGACCATGGAGGTTTGATGGTTCATCCGGGAGCTCCATGTCTGTGTTATCTTCGTAGTCCGGCAGCGAAGGTCCGTATGGCAGTCACGCTGGAGATGGATGATACTGAGCGTCGGATAAGTACTGAAAAGTTGAAGATCTCCCACCAGGGACGGGCATGTCTCCCGGATGTGGGGTTCACCTATCAGTATTGATTCGCTGAGTCACACCATCGACCCGCATTGTACCGGCACAGTACGGCCTTTTACGACGGTCCGTTTACCACCTAAGCTCTTTGGCAGAAGCGTGTGAACAGCACAAAACAAGAAAACATCACTGACAAATCTCGCGTTTTAGCTGCTCTGTATGTCAGTTATAGATTTTGTCTTATTTGAGACCCCATTTCGGTGTCCCTCGAGATATTGTGCCACTGGCGTAGCCATAACGTACGAGCTTGCCTTGCTGAAATTAGCAGTCTCATTGATAGCTTCCGCCCACGGTGACCGTGGTCCCTCCATGGGGACCGTCGGCGACAAGGACAGGCTTCTGAGCTGTCCTCGCTCGTGGTGGTACCATCACCACGGGTCGGTCAGCTCAGCCTGCGGTCATGAAATGCTAGTGACTTGAAATGACCGTTTGAGCCGCGCCATCTGATCCGACATCAGCGACCAAAAGCTTCGGGCGGGCTGTCCAGCCCAGCTACTGACACCCTTCACTGCTCTGGTTGCAGGAGGAGATGCGGCTGTACTACGTGTGTACAAACCCGGACTGCAAGCACCGGTGGTCGGAGTGAGCCGACCGCGCTGTCTGCGCCGCCGCCGGCTGCGGCCCGGTCGCGGCGGCGGGCGTCAGTGCCGCAGCCGCCGCCGCCGCCGCCGCCTCTCATGCGTCATCTTCACCGCTCACATGTGTCCCTCACCGCCGAATATAGGCCGCGCCGGACGGACGGGGTTTACTGCGGCGGTATGTCCAGCGGTGCACGGCGAGCCGATCATGCGAGAGCGCGGGCACGCAACGGCGGATGCGGCGAGATTGGCGTGCCGGGAGCGCAGGATTAGTTCCCTAACGCATTAACCGGACACGGCTCGCCCACAGACAACACGCGTTCCGTACATGTATTGGTACGTCAGATGGTAAACGCTCGCGGCTGCCGAGACATCGCCGCTCGAACGAAAATGGTACTCGGGTCGTGATGCGGCTCTTGGGTAGCGCTCAGCAAGGACGACCGCACAGAACAACTAGAACCCGGTCGCTGCCTAATACACTAACGTCACTAACCGTTGTGTTCCACTGCGGGATGCTTCCCTCCGTGAACACGGCGCGCCGCGAGCGTGTCAGCTTTGCGGGTCCTGTGACACACCACAGCTACGACAGGGCAGTGCGACACATGGCCGGCTGGACCCAGCCGCTGCTCTAGCGGTGACGGTCGGCAGCTGGACAGGATGGCGTGCTGAGCCGGGCTCGCCCAGCTGTCCTCTGGCGGCACCTGGAACGTCCCCGAGGCTCCAACTGCCTGGTGCCGGCGTTGCCGGCGCTGGGGCTGGTCAGCCGTGCCGGTGCTGGCGCGTCGTGCCGTCTCCCTCACCAGGCTGGCTCTCAGAGCCTCGGCGGATCGAGCCCTGATAGGGAGCCGGTGCATAGCGCGGGCAGCCCGACAGTCAGTCGGAACTGGCGCACTTGGCATGCTTGGCCAGTACGAGCAACGCTGATGTTTTCCGTTGCTCCAGCAGCACCAACAACTGACTGTGGCTGGTGACGATGAGCCCAGAAAGCCGCCCTGACCATTCGCCGAAAACGTCCAATCAGTTTCTCGCTGAGTGACGTCAGTTTAACAGCGGGGCTGCTGAGTCCTCGCCCGTGGTCACCGCCACGTCACCTGGACGCCGCCCGGTCCAGGCGACATTCACGCACGACCCTCCGAACGCGCCACTGTACACCGCCTGCTCGTTCTCCTCGTGTCTCGTGTCATGACGTCATCCCGCTCGGGCCGGGCGCAGCCGCCGTTGGCCACGCCGGTGAGCGGAGACCAGACCCCGCCGAGGTGGCGTCATTTGCCGGGGGGGCGCCGTCGCGTGCCTCTCCTGCCGACGGAGCGACGCTGGCGGAGCGAAGCCGGGGCGCCCGACACCGCATCCGGTCGCCCGGCGTCCAGGTGACACACGAGGGGCAGCCCGACCGCCGCGCCGCCCCCGTCCGCCTCACAGCTTGTCGGCCTGCGCCAGCAGCTCCTCGATGAAAGCCTGCGGGAGCGTGGCGTCAGCGCGGTGGCCGCGGCCGGCGGCTGCCCGGCAGAAGACGCTAAGCCCGCTTAAGGGGCAGTCACCCGGCCGGAGCCGCACGCCACGCGGACGGATCAACATTGCCGATTAGATAGGGCTGAGGTCTCGTGCAGCCTTTCTGATATAAGAGCTAATGCGGAGTGATCGCGGCGGACGAGTGCCCCGCTTACACGCGCTCTTCTCGGCAGCTCTGGGCGAAGCCACGCTGGGCTGTGAGAAGGGGAGTCCCCGCTAATGGGGGATCATCTGTCATCCCGTGGCTCTGTTTACGCGTCGTACTTCAGTGGGAAGCATAAATTTTACACTCGGGTACGAACCGACATGCAGACAGAACAACAATCAACGCGACGCACAGGCAGAAGAACAGGGAAACCCCGCGCACGAAAACACAGGCATCCCGACGGACCGAACTGACTGGACTGGACTGAAGGACTGACAGATGACGTGTAGAAAACACAGGCATGCCGACGGGACGGAGCTGACTGGACTGAACTAAAGGACTGACAGATGACGTGTAGAAAACACAGGCATCCCGACGGACGGAACTGACTGGACTGGACTGAGGGACTGACAGCTGACGTGTAGAAAACACAGGCATGCCGACGGACGGAGCTGACTGGACTGGACTGAAGGACTGACAGCCGACGTGAAGGGAGGCTCATCCGGTGCCAGACCGGGGCGGCGCTTCCGATCTCAACGAACGCACCCGCAGAAGACGGGTATACAAACCGGCAAAACAATATTTCCAAGTCCAGGAAACGGGCTTGTGTGAGGGTGCAGAGGCAATAGCGGACCAGCGAGACCGCTCAACAAGAGCTGACGGACGGCCGGGGCGACACAAAGTCATTAGGGCCGGCCGGGACGCCGCCTGGCGAGGGGCGGGGGGGGGGGGGGCACGCCTCTAGCGACCGGGCGGCCGGCTCCGCGCCCCCTGTTGGGAACCGCCGGCGCTCACGTGGAGCTGCTGCCGCGGCGGGGCGCTGGCGTCGGCCAGCAGACGGCGCAGGTAGCTGCGTCGCTCGGCAGTGCCGTCGATGTCCAGCAGCTCGTCCAGGTCCAGCTCCTGGTGCGCCGCCGCCTGGTCTCCCTGGGGAGAGGCTGCCGGTTAGGGTTTCTGTCCAGCGCGGGTGACAACCCCGCTTGGCGTCCGCGGGGAGGGGGTGGGAAAGAGTGCGGTTAGCGCGCGTTATCAGATAACGACGGTAGCGTCTGCAGGCGTGTAAATATGTCTGTGTCAACTTGGCCTGAGTTTATCTCAAACGGCCTATAAAAATGAGTCTAGGTTACGAATGCACGTCAGGAAAATAATGGCTTACGCCATACTCGGCTGGGAGCCCAGGTAGGACCAACGTCCAGTTACATAATAGCTTTGCGGGCTGGTTTTTCAGTGCATTGGCGATCTGTAAGCATATTTGCGGCACGTCTTTGAGCAAGATGTTCTTCGCGAGCGATGGCGACAAACAAAACATAGGTTCGGTGCTGTGGAAACGTCGACGATTTAGAGCGCATGTACTGAAAGTTATTATCACAGTCACGGCGCCTAAATTACAACGCTCAAATCGCCACTGTAGAACGATGTGTTGGTCCCCGCGGCTCAATTGTTCACTTGGTTGGGGATTTAGTGACGCTGGATTTGCTGACTCAGAGCCCATTTAATAAAACTTTCATGTCCAACTTCAAACTTCAATGTCCAAGAGGTACGCGGCAAAAATTCGGACACCATCTGGTTGGTCACATTTTTTCCGCACAAAAAACAGCGAGTGACACTGGGTCTAGATGTCCAAGCTCTGGGAATAACACCATGTCTAAAACCACATGGTCGTTTGTTATTGTCAATTATCATAGATCAATGTGTTCGTACTCTAGCGCATATTTACAAGTAACAGCTCATTTAGAAACGGCCATGCCTACCCGGAAGATCTACAACCTTAGACACAAACTTTGCGTCAGTTACCAAAAAACCTCTGCTGAAAATTTTTCGCATGACTTATCTAATTGCACGCGGCGAATTTTACTTGAATTCATTGCGGGCACATGTTTGATCCCAATGCAGGTACAATGGCCTGGAACTAGAACGCCGACATATGAAGCAGACACCTCGTTCCCCGAAACGGCTCGTCCGATCGCCTTGAAACCTTCACCAATCGATTCAGTGCAATGAGGTGAGTGATGGGGTGACAATATTAAAATCTGTCCAGGGATGAGACACTTAAAAAACGCGAACGTACAATTTCACACAAAACATCAGATAACTCAGATCTCAGAACCCACAGCAACGATCGCTGCACTCCACTGGAACAGGTTGCACTGTTTTCATTAGTCGTTTTGCTTAGTTCATGTGGACAGCTGAGTGCCATTTGATGGTTGTGATTACGGCAAAACATCCCTATTTTGAATGGCGTCAAGTCGTGGGCACTGACCCTATCATTTCTATGTATAACGCAGAGAAAAGCCGCAACGCTGCGCTTAAGAAAGGACTCTGGGGTCGCCGCTTTTGGGACACCAGTCCGAAGTCAGCCTCAGCCAAAGGTCGCGCAGAATCCTGCTTCCGCCGCTGCCGTACCGTCTGCGGGCCGTACAGCTTGGCCATCTCCTCGAGGACCCACATCTCGACGCTGAGCCGCTTCCTGATGAGCGCCATCTGGTGACTGCCGTACTTAGCCGTCAGGTACTTCTTTCTGCTGTCCATGCGGCCGTGGGCCGGCTCGAAGTTGACCGCCTGCGGCCGAGTTCAGGTCAGCGAAGCGGGGCGGTGTGGAGTAGGGAAGCACCGGCACCGGCGACGACGTAGGACTATCAGGATTTGCAACGGGGCCTTGGGTGTTTTAGGAGCGAGTTTCAGCCCTACTTGCAGCGTTTGCGAGCTGCGAACACACCACAGGTGCCGTAGACGCTGAGAGATACATAACCAACGTATCACAAGGCTATCAATGTTAGTTTGTCCTGGGACTGGAAACAACCGTCTAGGCTGCGTACTCTACCGATGCAATTATTTAAAATATTTTGAGGCACCACACCACACTGATGAGACGCTCAGATTTAAGCGTTCTGCTTATGCGCCAATCCACTCGTCATATTATGTGCTGCTTCGTGTCCATAATCAAAAATAAACACAATCAATGGTATTTTAACAAATGCGCTCGACCCTGACGGGAGCTTAAGCTCAATGAGCCCCGCCCCGCCCTGGCCGCCCCCGGTGTGGGAGGCAGCGGCGGTAGTGGGGCTGACGGATGGTCAGGTCCGATGGATGAACGGATGGATGGTCACAGCGTCTGGTGGCGGACGCTGTGTTGGCAGCAGATTTGATGCACTGTACCGCATACGGCGATGTGGCACAGCGTCTCACAGCGATGTGATACCACGCAGTGGGCATGCGTCAGCATGCTGCTGTGGCCAGGAAGCCGCCGCGTCGGGTACATTGCCACTCACGAAATGGCGCGGCCGGGATATGACGCTGTGGAGTGTGCTCCCAGTCCGGTGGGCCACGGTACAAAGCAACAGCAGCCGTGGGACTGCTGCGATACAGGGGAACGTCCGCAAGGATCTCAAAGTCCTGCACGGTCATCCACTTCGATTATCTGTGCAGAGTTTCGATACGTGTAGAGCAGACTGTTGACTGCCGTAATCTGAGATTGCACAGCGCGAAACGGGGTCCCGATATTGAATGTGTTGTCACAAGCCGTTGACCGCCAGCAGCAGTCTGTTGAGGCTTGGTGTACAGATCGCTTAGTGGCTGATGAAATGCAACCAACCGTAAGCTGCTTTCCGGTGACACGATATTTTCAAGAGCAAAAACAGAGGCACTCGGTACAATCACGCGGTTGAAAGTGATGCTTCCTCGTTATGAAATGCCCAATTACCATCGAATTGACGGGTTATGATATATCTAATAGGGATTTGATAATCTGCATACTGCCTCGGAAAAGGCTGTCGACCTTGAGTCTTCAAACGCGCCCGTCAATAACCTGACAGAGCACCTGACACGCATCAATAGACTAATACATGTTATTGTTGCTGTTCTGCGGTCGTCACCAGCATTCTCGCGGGCGCCGCAGTTCCCGACCGCAAAGCCAGTAGAGGCTGTGGGTGGTATACCGACCTTGGGTGATTTGATGGCCTTGTTCTCTAGCATGTTGTCGGTGCCTTTGCTTGTTGGGCTGTATCCAGCCGGAATGCCCACCTCCATCACACAGGGCTGAAACCAAGGAAACAATATCGGACTTTTGCGCGCAGGCGTCGCTTTACTAAGAGATCCCAAGCCAAGTAATGCTGGGGCACAATGTCGATACCTTCAGTGTAATTTCCTGTAGTGCTCTTATAACGTTAATGAATACGTGATGTTTTTCGGAAATACTGGTGACATTAACTTTGAAAACACTACAAACGCAGCAAAAATAATATTTGGTGAATTATCGTGTAATGTCTGAACGCTTCGTAGGAGAGCAATGCCTGCAATTTTCAGGATCAGCCACTTTCATGCATCTGCGTCGCAAGCTTACACTGGGAAATACGATGGATAGACAAAATGTGTGTTTACATTTCTGAAATTATCTGCGGTAATCGACACTTCCCTGCCTGCAATCAAGCCGAGAAGGTTGTGTTGTCTACTCATGCAATTGAAACGAAATTGTAAATTCGGGCTAAATCGGAAATTTTAAGGCAAACGGAACAAACTGGACGAGGTGTGAGTGCGAAAAAAGTGCGAGGTGCCCCCCCCCCCCAAAAAAAAATCCGTGAATTCGAGTAAAGCGCACCAAACGTATGTAGTAAGACTTCATCGCTACATGAAGCGGCGAAAAAGCTTACTACATATACCCTTTGTGCCATTGGTGAATCTGTGTGGCGGGGTTGTTTCACCGAGTGCAGCTGCTTTGCGTTACGTTCGTCCTTATAACGTCTCGCTGAGGTGGTCTGGGATTTTGCAATGGCACATTATGCGCGGTAAACTGGCGTGCACCGGAACCAGCGATGAGAAAGCACATGGCATGACCATCTGCAGGCAGCTTAAGGATCCAACCGTAGATTAACTCAATTTCATCTCCAAGGTCATAGCCGGCTATTAATCAGGGGTTAAATTCTCATGACCCTGAGACAAAACAGCGGTCGTCGCGGTTGAGATCTACCAATTCGCTGAGACCAAGAGAATTGCGTCATACTGTTTTTTTCGACATCCAATGCCTCATCCACGGGGAATTCCTCCCCATCCTGGTAAAACTGTCATCCAAACTGTCATCCAGAAGTTTTGCTGAACAGCTCTGAAGCGGCGGGGGAAAGCACCCTGCTCAAAACGTCCGGAAAATTGGAAGAATAAAGGCTAATTTATCTTGGATGGCAACACACCGACCACCGCATTCCTTGTTGTTCCGTAGTTGCGGCTTCCAAAAGCAGGGCAGTCATTCCACCCACCCCCTTTGTCCGACCTTGCCATCTGCAGCTCGCCTGATTCTCTAAGATGAGATTCTGGCTGCAGGGGCGTCGTCTTGACACGATAAGGAAAATCCAGACAGAATGAAAAAGAGCTCAACACAGTCAGTCACACTTCATGGCTTCCAGGCAGACACCGAGCCGTAGATAGACGCTGAGCCCGCTGGATTCATGCCTCAAGAATCCACTTTGGAGGTACCGCTGACGATTTGGGGCTGGAGGAAAAGCATTTTCATGAGATGGTCAACTTCGTGCTACTTTTGAATTCAAGGGACGTACGGCCACCTGGAACCAATGGGAAGTTTCCGTGTTGCCAGAGAAGAGCAACTGGGATGGTGTAACGTGGCTTAAACAAAAGAAGATGGGGAGCATGTCCTTAACTGATACCGAAGGTGAAACTGGGACCTTCTCAGAGCCAAACCCAAGGCTACATGTACTTCATAAAAACAACTGATCCTGCACATTCCGTTTCGGTCTCGTCACTGACGGCCTGTTACGTACTTGGCGACCCAAAGCAAAGAAAAAGTGCAAAGCGTCGGTCACCAAACGACGACAGTAATCCTGCTGCTGAACCGTGGGACTGGAGCGGATCGCGGCGATGGTGACATTGCAATGTGTTGCATGATCTCTGCCACCCCGATCCCTGTCACGTTCCTGAGCATCGCACGGACCGAGCGCGGTGGCTCGTCGGCAAAGCGCGCACGCTGGAGCGTCGCGTGACCCAGGGCTGCCCGTTGATGACTCTCCACTGATCTTATTCCGGAGAAAAGCCTCGCCGGGTTGTGAGAACACATGCCGGAACTTGCTCACCTTTCACCTCGCAGCTCACGGCACCCTGAGATCCGGGGGCGTCGCTGCCCGGCCCACAACCGCCACGCCGACCCTCCAGCGTAGCCGCAGGTGGCAGCACTGGGCACATCGTACGAACGCGACCCGAGCGGAGCGCCCGACGCAGGCGCGGATACAGAATACCCCGCCACGTCGCGTGGGGCGCCACCGCATCCGCTCCAGCTCGCGTCCCCGCCCTGGCAGAGCAGCACTGGACACAACCAGGGGCTGACTCCTCTGCAGCGCGCCTGTGACCGCCCCTGCGCAAGGGCGTCGCCAGTCACGCATGGGGGCTGGGCGTCGACCGTTTGTGACACGGCGATGGGGCCGCCGGCCGCTGCTCCCGGCCGGAAGTGCGATGCTCAGCTGACCTTGTAATCGTCTGCAAGAGCTGGTCATTCACCGGTCCCGGGCCCGGGCGGGCGCGGCCGGCATGACCGCCGCAGCGGCGTGCACGCGTTAGTGGTCCTCCCGCTCAAGTGACAGGTGGGCGAGGGCTAACGCGAAGACGGTCAGCTCCAGGGCAGTACAACACCGGGTACTCCAAAGTTTTGACTAGTAGGTATCGACACATACTATAAGTATACCAAAATCGGGATTAACACCATATTTAGGATGTTGTACCAAAATGCATATATATGCATACTATATATATATATATATATATATATATATATATATATATATATATATATGTTTATATATAATCGGAGTAATGTTGCACTTAATAGTTATATCGCCAGTTAGTGGCCGTATTCGCTCCGTGTTCCATCTTAACTCTGCTGAAAAGAGTTGGCGGCAGCGGGATTCGATCCCACGCTTGGACATCGTGACGCGTGCATGGGTCTGCGCTCTGCCTGATAGCTCGAAAATGAGTGCCACGGCCCACACTTTTGATCTTGGAAATCGAAAGAGACTTGTTCAAGCTTCATCTCTATGCACTTTTTGTGCATATATATGTTCAAGATTTAGAAAGCCGTGGGCCTGAAGAAGGTCATTTTAACATGGAAACCCTATGGCTTGCCGTGAAATGCGCGCCGTTGCTGCCATATTTTATACCAGACTTTGGACCCCCGGGTCAGCTCGGTGCGAGCAGGCGCGAGGAGGAGGCGGAGGGGCCGGATATCCAGTTTATTCCACGCCGTTATGCAAATGGACGGAATGCGGACATTGTGACTTATTGCGAGCCTTGGTTTAGAGTTTGGGATGAATGAGCTTGTAAAAATGCAGCTCGTGATAGCGCCGACAATGCAGCATTTCCAGTGGAATGCTGATAATAGCTGGTTTTGCGAAAACGCGTCGCATCCTGAAAAAAACGCATGATAACAAATATTATGTCGTCCTAATAATGCATTGTCCTTTGCCGTGACACGGTTGACGAATAGGTAGACAGTCTGTGCGGCCGGTGAATCTTGGACGGATCCAGTGCAGTATCATAAAGAGCCAGTTCAGGGTGCCCTAAAAGTGATGTTTCACTATGTGTGTTACGATTGTGCTTCGTCAGTGGCAGGCAGCCTCGAAATCTACATTCATGACATGAGTTTTCAAGAAGAACTTTTTCGGAAGGAGTCAGACAATGCCAGGATTTGCATAAAACCACCATCCCTCCCTTGTTTCCGTGACCCGTAACACGGTACACGCCAACCAGCGCGTAACACGCCGCCGTCGCGCGGATAGGTGGCGCCTCTGCTGCCCGTTCCAGGCCCAGCCGAGCCGTCCCCTCCCCCTCCCCCGTCCCCTCCGACGCCGCGCCGGCGTCGACGGCATCGATCGTCGGTCGCGACGCGATCAGCTGGGGCGCGTCGACTGCGACGATGGCGGCGGCGCGGGCGGCGGTGCTGCTCTCGTGGCTGGCGGCGCTGGGCGGCGGCGCCGGGCCGCCGGGCGCCTGCCAGGACGACTTCCTGATCCGGGAGGGCGCCATCATCCGCACGGAGGACTCGCGCCGGCGCGGCGCCACCTTCCTCAACATCACCGAGGTGGCCGAGACGACGCGCTGCCTGCAGGCCTGCTGCCAACGCGCCGGCTGCAACGCCGCCATCTACGACCAGAAGGTGGGCGCGAGGGGACGGGGCGGCAGGCTCGTTGGGCTGCAGGTCAGAGGGTTCCGTCGCAGCCCCGACACCAGGCTTCGTTTTCGGTTCGTTTTAATGTTTTCAGAGGTCAGTCCGTCGGAAGGTCAACATCCGGCCCCATAGATGGTTTGTGTGGTAGTTTTGACTTCGTTCCTTCGTTGACTACAGCTAAGGGGTGATACAGTGACAGCCATGCCAATGCCTCGTTCACGCCCGCGGTAGCAATAGCCTAGGAAGTCTCCATATGCCACCGAACGGTAGCCAGCAAGGAAGATCAGTCAGCTGACACGAGGCCATTATGTCAGTTTCCACCCCAAATCTACCACCAAAAGACCCTCAGCAACCGCTGTTCAGCACCTGTCGCAAAGCACGCCTCTCGCTCAACCGCCTGCCCTCAAGTGGAAAACTGCCGTCGGCTCGTGTCAGCCGTCTCCATAAAACGCCCGGCGGGCTGGCGGGCTGGCGGCGGCGGCGCGGCGACCGTTTAACCCAGATGCCCTATGTCGTGGCCGGGCACCGGCGGGACGTGCACGCCGTGTTGGTTCGGGTCAGCGCACGCCCCGGGGGCGCCGGGAGCGGCACGGCACGGCACGGCCGACCACGACACCAGTCGTGCGCTACGACACGCAGCGCCGAGCCGGCGACGGCCGCGGAGGGAGATGGTGAGAGGCTGAAGGCAACGGCCCGCGAATGGGGATGGTGAGGGGCTAAAGACAACGGCCCGCGGATGGGGATGGTAGGAGACTGAAGACAACGGACCGCGGATGGGGTTGGTGAGACGACAACGGCCCGCGGATGAGGATGGCGAGACGACAACGGACCGCGGATGGGGATGCTGAGAGACTGGAGGGCCCGCGGATGAGGATGGTGAGAGACTGAATACAACGGCCCGCGGATGGGGGTGGTGAGAGGCTGAAGTCAACGCTCTTGGGAGGGGCAGACACTGACCTGGGGGCGGGTCTGGCCAGAGGTTGCGCTGACAACGGGCCGCAGTTGCACTTGATGGGAGGCTGGTGGGAGGCCAGGCTCAAACGGCCCGGTAACTGATCTAGCCCTGGACTGATTCTGAGCCCTCATAGCACTTACCAAGACAGATCTGTGGCGCTCGAGGCCCATTACGCCGCTCAGGCGATATGTATTCAGTTCCCGCACTCCCGGCCTCGCTTTCGGATCCGATTAGGGCTAAAGCTTTGGCTCCTGGAATCGCATCGGCGTGGCGTGTGGTCGGCATACGTAGTACGGTACCTCGCCGTGTTCCATAATCCGAGTCGTGATCAGAACTGGAGCGCTTGGCAACTGCACGAAGTCATCAGTGGACAGAGAAGCCGAGGTACCTTCGGCCTTCAAGCCGATGCGTGGCCGCACAACAGAGATCGTGGATCCGCGAGGCAAATCCGGACCCACAAGACAAATCCGGATCCAAGAGGCAAATCCGGAGATCCCACTGCGATCCCACCTGCTTCTCGTCGTCCCACTAGTCGAGTAATTTAGGAAGCCATTCTGGCGCATTTGTGGCATGTGAGCCAACAAGTCCGTGTCTGCGAGCTAAAGCCGCGGTCGATATTGACCCAGCATTGGGAAGCACCTGACGTGTGATATCACAACACAGAGCACAATTAGCTGCCCTCACCGGATTCTGATTTATTTATCAGTGCGGACGTGATACATTTCCAGTCAGACCAGCCGTACTATGACCAGCATATCCTGCACTCACAGGCCTCACGTTTCATGGTTGGTGCTGCCAACAGGCTGCCTCTGCCTTCACGGGTGAAATATTCAATTGCTTGAGAGGAAAATGGTTTTCCCTGTTCCGTCCATCATGAATGTTCCAGCACCATGTGATTTGTGGAAAGAACTGGCATAAATTGCACCTGAAATGATCACGTGTCTCCAATAACTCCTGAAAAGTTCCTTCGCCGGCCGCTGCTGCCGACGGAGCCGTGGTGTCGTTACCGACGGAGCTGTGGTCTCGTTACCGACGGAGCTGTGGTGTCGTCGCTGACGGAGCTGTGGTGTCGTCGCTGACGGAGCCGTGGTGTCGTCGCCGACGGAGCCGTGGTGTCGTCACCGACGGAGCTGTGGAGTCGTCGCCGACGGAGCTGTGGTGTCGTTATCGACGGAGCTGTGGTGTCGTCGTCGACGGAGCCGTGGTGTCGTCACAGACGGAGCTGCGGTGTCGTTACCGACGAAGCTATGGTGTCGTCGCCGACGGAGCTGTGGTGTCGTCGCCGACATAGTTGTGGTGTCGTCGCCGACGGAGCTTGTGGTGTCGTTCCCGACGGAGCTGTGGTGTCGTCGCCGACGGAGCCGTGGTGTCGTCGCAGACGGAGCTGTGGTGTCGTTACCGACGAAGCTGTGGTGTCGTCGCCGACGGAGTTGTGGTGTCGTCGCCGACGGAGCTGTGGTGTCGTCGCCGACGGAGCCGTGGTGTCGTGGCCGACGCTTCACCCCTGCCGTCGTTTCAGACGCACAGCTGTTTCCTGTTCGACTGCGGCCCGCTGGACGACTACCGGTGCCTGTTCACCTCGCACACGCAGTTTGTCAGCGCCACCCTGAAGGTCAGCCGGGGTCAGCTGGACCTGGCGCAGTGGGGCTCGCAGAGCCAGCACGAGGCGGAGCTCACCAGCCTCAAGTAAGCCCAGCCGCGGCGCACGGCGTGCCCGATCCGCCAGGGCTCCAGCTGAGGAAATGTGCTAAGAGCGGGTGTGGTTGCCTGTTTGATTGAGGAAAACTTGCTAAGAATTGATGTGGTTCGTGGGTTGGGGTTGCAGAGATTCGTGCATCAGCAATGTCAAAAAGGCAGTGTGAAGATCCGTGGTCAAAGCATGGCGAGGTCGGAGTTTCATAAGCATTCCCATCGCCCGGCATCGGCCGTTCCCTGTTGATTCACGCGTCATCCCGCATCCCGCAACGCCCCGCTTATCCGGGGCAGGGCTGCATGCGTCAGTCATGAGTGAGCTTTAAGCCCCTGGCGAGAGCCGCGTCCCTGCCCCCTGCCCCCCACCTAACCCGAGAGACTCCTCATGTGGGCTAGTCTCGGCGGAGGCCTGTCAGGTGCAGGCAGTGTGGTCTCACCACTACCCACTCTCCTGCTTCCCATTGTACTGAAATGGTCACGAATAGCTAAAAGGGGGTCTCAACCAAACCAAACTGACCATCATCTGGCCAATACGTACAATGCTGTTCTACGAAGACGATATTAAGCCTAGCGGCACCCACTGTGATTGATATCCGAAATTTTCATTTTAATAATTGTTTTAGAAAAATATCAACGTCTTTGACGGTTTGGCATACGGTGACTAAAGCTTTGTAGGTAAGTGCACCACCCTATACAACCACCACAGACATCATCGCCTGTGGCCGGGACCACTGCACATACAAGTAGGATTTTCCCGACACCTTTTCCGGAGGTCTCCGAGTAGGCGTAGGTGACGCATAAAGTTGCGGCTCATGTCGTGCTGAATCCCACAGTTGGACCAATACACGTATGCCGTGATACACGCTATAGGTGTGTTCTTCCACATTTGAGATACTCGCATGAAATTACGCGGAAGCTTTCGCAGAACACGACTTCATGCTGTCAGATAGCTCCAGCATTCGGCTCCAAACGCTGCGCAAAATAGCCTTTATTATGGGAAGACGACTAACATCGGGCTGAAGACACCCACGCTGTTTTTTCAGGAATGTGGTGCCGCCCAGCGCACCAAAGCCGGCTGAGCATCAGAAGACGCTGGAGCGGCCGCTGAAAGAGATGATTCGCCCTCCTGTGACCTCTGCCCCGGCCGTCCCCAAAGGTCAGTGGGTGCGGGGCACGGGCGACTTGCGGCCACAAGGGTCACCACCACACCACAGGTCATACTGCTGTCCAATACTAACACAACAACCTTCTTCACGCAATCAAGAAGCTCAGGCGCAATCGGCCTGTCGCAAAGTCTGTGGTTGTATAACGGCACTCCAAATGACGCCATACAGATCGTGTGTATTTTCCGATGTTGCAAGGCGAATGAGATCCCCCTTCACAGTGGGCGGGCGTCAGTTTATTCCGCCGCCGTTTCCCACGTGGCGTGGAGGGCTGCTGCCCGGGTCAGGTCGGGGGCGTGGGACGGCTCGAAGCGCGGCGCCTCGGTCCCAGGCGCTCGGAGGCTCGGAACTGTACCGTTCGACGGCCGGCGCGGCTCAGCGGCATTAATGCCGCAGCCGGCGCTTCGGCTGGGGCTCAGAAGCGCCTCGGAGTGGCGCGGCCTGGTGATGCCGTGCGTCAAAATGGACGATCAGTGAATCGCAGAAGGTACTAAGTGATGTCAGAAAGGGAATCCAGATAGATTGCTCATGTCAGAATCGCTGGTTATGATTTCTTGCAGATGATGGGCGTTACAAACGTCACTCGTGTGATGAATGTAAGTGGCCCTGGTGTTGCACCACAATTTTTTCGCGACAGCTGTGAACAATCAGCACGGTTTGAGACAGAGAACCAGGAAAAAATCAGCTGTTGTGACTGATGCTAGCAGGGAAAGAAAGTAAACTTGCTTACAAATGCAAAGGATATTTTCACTTCGGCGCGTATGCGGATGGTGACTGCTAAAAGAATGCAGATCTTCGGAGTTACGGAAAGATATGGAAAAGGAGTTGTGAGAAAATGTGGTTATATAACGTGTCTTTCCATTACATGTCATAAGGCTAAACGTAGCTTTCCCGCACGTGGTTAGTCACTAGTGCCGCCCCCCCCCCCCCCTTAGTTGGCCGTCATCGACTCCTAAAACGATGTTATAGTTTCACGACTTCACGTTCTGCTTTTGCCACTGTCGCGCAGTACAAACACTGAAAGTACAAGTGTCAATTCTCCCATATTCATCCCCGCTAAGTGATCGGCGTAACTCTTACCTCCAATTCGCAGCCATGGAGACTTCAAAAACCAAATGTAACTAACGCGTCCAACCACACCGCTCTGGGCTACCGTCTCCGCGCGCGGCGAGAACCGAGCTCAAGTGATTTTCGAAACATGGGACATTTTAATACGTCTTTGCATGTAACTTAGATACCATTGAAACAGGTTGGACCACATCAGGACCCAAGATTAAGCAACGCATTGGGTATCGTGTCTTCCTTGACGTTCGATTCAATCCAGGAAAAGTGTCGAGTGTTTTTGTCTTCTCGCCCAACTTGAAGGCGGCCAGAAAAGCGGGGCTGCGTGCCGAACCATACAGCCCTCCCGACAGAAGAGAGAAGTCCTCAAATAGTGCAGAGGTGGCGTCCGTGAGGAGCAGAGCCTCGCGTGGAGACGAGCGCCCGGGAAAGCGTCAAATCGAACACGTCACGTGACGACGAGCTGGCGCTGAGCGCTGAGCCTCGCTGACCGCGGCGCGTCACGACTTCTGCCGTCTCTGAGAGGTCGGCAGAGGCGTTAGCCCCGCGTGGAATGGGCCGTCCGTGTGAGTTCTCGAGACGAGCGCGAGCTGCGTGAAGCCTAGAAAGCCGCACATGAGGTGACGTAGTAGAAATCAAGTCATGAGAGATAGGTGGGCCAACTGGTGCTGTCTAGAAATGATAAATGGTCGTGCGGTATTGCCTATCGAACGAAATGGCCTTGCGCAATCAAGCGTCCTTTATGTATTGCTTGCGGGCCAAGAACTTTAACGAGATGTGAGAGAGCTAAGTGTTTGAATGACCAATCCGACTTCATGTTTAGTTTCATGTCGTGTCGTGGTAGCTTTAAGTTGCCCACAAAACTTTTCCACCCAGCAATGAGTGAAAAACCGCCCGTAGCTAGTAAGCTCAACGTGGACTCAACTGCCCCTCCCCCTCCCCCCCCCCCCCCACTACCACCAACAGGAAAAAGCATGTTTCATTGATGTATTTACCAGCAGGCATATTCACCCCCAATTGTGCCTCAGCGTCCCTGTCGTGATGAGAGATAGGAGAGAACGTTGGTCTAATATTCCATACGACCACGTGGACTGGGTTAAAGTGGAAAGAAGGCTGTGTTGTCAAGAGATTACACCGCCCGGGATTGGGAAGCAATCAAGGCGTCATGCTCAAGAGACTACTGACGGAAAGGCGAAGGAATTGCGGGTAGTGACACGTGAAGGTGTCTGACCGTCTCCATAACAAGAAGAAAGCGAAAGGAAATTGATGATCGAATTCATTATGTCGTTTGCTGCGCGTCGGATTCGGCTGATTAACTGAAGTTCGCGGTACGCGGTTACCATCGTTGTACGAGATCGAGGAATTCGGTCGCCCAACGTCCTGTTCTCAAGATCCATTTCACCATGGATATACATGTACTTTACAGGCTATTTTTTTTTTGTTACTTTTTGCAAACGCAGCAAGCCGCAGTCCCACAGAGTGATATCGGCTAGCATTCGCCGAGTTGCGCCATAATACGCTATTTTAGTCGGCCTTCAACAAAAGCGTCCTGGATCAAACCGTGTCATGTTCGTGCACCGCTCGGTATTTAAAATGACGGTACGTGCACGTCACATCTAGCATTAACCAAAGCATCTACAGATGATCGCGTACTCACCCTGGACGGATAAAATCGCTCCACCACAGGACCCAGACCGCCATCGTAGCCAAACAGTGATGGCCTACGCAGTTTGGACGTCATGGCGCCAAACAACCTGGGAAACAGATGAAAAACAGTTAAGTCGATGTAACGAAACATTAGTACATATACCCATGACAGGTTAAACGCGGGTACTTACATTCCACACGTAAGTGCATTACAAAATCGGGAATGAGACAAGATAATTTCCAAGGGACGATGAGATGACAATGGTTGGTGCTCACTGCATACACTGACACTCGTTAGCGCTGAAACAACGGGTAACATCCGCATAGCGCTCTCATAAAATAACATGGACAGTATTGACTGATAATGGGAGGTAACTTCATGAATTTTTGGCAAGCGAAGGGCAAGATCAGTTAGGTTCGTTTGCGGCAATGCAAACAGGCGATCACCTCCAGTCCTCGGAAAAGACTCCCTTTTGACGGCGTTGGCGCACTAAGCTTAACAGGCCGATGCGTTAGGAGGGTTCGGATGGTAGCAGCGTGCGAGACATTGTTTTGCGGGGGCACTCACACAGCTGCTACTCCAACGCAAATGACAAATGTTCCAGTGACGTCATATGCTGGCACCAAATTATCGGCTGTCATACGGATGACTGGCCCCTGGTTTCGCACAGACTTGCTTCAGCATAATAACGTTCTTGCATTGCCTAAGCCTATGTATCACAGTGTAACAAAGAGGTCAGACTCGAGAGTTCGACAAATATCGCACCAACGGCCCCGCCACAAATACAGCTAAATATAGCCGTAAAACACGGCGCCTGGGCGCGACTGGAGAGCTTCACGCTCCAGCGCAGGCACTCAACGCGGGCGTGAGAGCCTCCGCATATACCGCACGGGAGAGAGGCCGGTTTCAGGTCAAGCGGCGACGGCGGACAGTTATCCCGTGTCGGGGAGCCGAGCTGAGCAGCGGCCTCAGTGCGGGACGCGCGCCGCTCGGCGGGCCTCGTAAGGGTGATGCCACCGCCGCGGCAGCGCTCCAACGAGCGGAGGTGAGACCAGCTGTTGGAACATCCACGCCACGCGCTCGTTTGCGGTGTCCGCCTCACGAGCGCTGATGAGCTGGGCGCGGTGGTAACGGTGCGAAACACGGCGTTACGTGGTGTTATGAGGGTATAAGCCTCGCAGGAGACGCCCCTACCGCCATTACCCAGAGGGAAACCTTTCGTTTGTTACCAACCAGCGAACCGTCAGCTGAGCCTATCGCGCTACCAAGATAAAAAGGAATTATAATATAATTTGCATTATAATATGCTTTATAAATATGAACATTATAAATTGCGCAAGTCAGTGAGAAAACTGTGGCATGATCCAACACGCCAGAACCAAAAAGCAGCGTAGCTGTCCGATCCCCTGCCCCATACCTCCCTCCACCCGTCTCCCTCTTATCGGCATCGCGCGTGTCTGCAGCTGCACCGCGAGCCGGCGAGGAGACGTAGGCGTGGAGACGGGAGTCTGCTGTCTCCCGACGACCCAGATAGGCGCACGGCGGCGGTCTGCACTGGTGCGAGCGGGCTGCGCCGGCGGCGGCTAACGGCCCGACCTCCCTCCCACTGGGCGGGCGCGCGGCGGCGGGCGGCCGCGCTCCGGCGGCGGAACTCAGCCGGGTGGTCCTGTGGTCCTGACAACAGGCGGGGGCTCGCGGCACGTGGTGGTCCCCACGGCAAGCGAGGGGTCTCTGCTGTAGGTGGTGAAGCTGAGTGGAGATGGCCGACCTCCCCGCAGCGCAAGCGGGATAAGAACCAAACTGGATGGGCGTTTTACCACATTTTTGAGGAGTGCTGTGCTGAACGCCTGAGGTTGCATGCTGACAATTGCTGACGAATGCTGATCCTGCAGGCGATGCTGGCGTGGCTCATGCACGTTTGTACACGATCGATCCCGTGCCTTCTTGCTTGGAAGTTGTCTGCCGTTGGAGTCTTCCGCGTCGCTCGAACGTTACGGAAACGACCGATAAAACCGCCCGTTTGCAATCAAACACGGCTTGACACCGCGACGCCGGCCGCACTCAGAACGCGGACGGACCCCGAGCGTCGGGCCTGCTCGCTCGCCTCCGCCGCGGCGTCCTGGACCACTGATCGCGGCCGCCGTCAGCTGACGTGCCGCTTTTGTCGCCGCCGCGCCGCCGTCGCCACGCCGTGACCCGGCGGCGGCGCGGGGTCGTACGCCGACCGCTCTGGCGACTTGTGCCCGTCATCGCGCCGCGCTGGCGGCGGCGGCGGCGGCGGCA